AGATCCTCTGACTCAAAACTGGTTCTTTTCATCGACCCAAATTCAGCAAAGATCAACTGGAAACTTCAGATTACATCAAACCTCTCTTTCAGACAGATGAGACATGCAAGTATCAAACTTAGCCTTATTAATTGATACATGAGGTACCATTTGCACCTTTTTACAAAGGTGTGTTTGAACCAAGAATCTGATATTTCTCTCGGGCAGATCTGCTGAATATGCAAATGGTTCCATAACTTCATTCCTTATTTCTCTTCTCTGTACTGAGTTAAGCTTTAACCCTTTCCTATACCAACTGTATGCGTGTGTGTGTGTGTGTATGTGTATGTTAGACCAGTTCATGTGTTTATGTAGGATGTTAGACCAGTGTATGTGTTTATGTAGTATGTTAGACTAGTTTAAGTGTTTATGTGGTTAATAAAACCTTACTTGTATCACACTTGACGTGGTTCATTGTTTGCTCATAACTGAATCACTTAATCATGCAGATTTACGCTACAAGCTTTTGTAGAATTGTACAGTAAGGAAGTTATTTCCCTTAACCAGGAAATTAACGTTCTTAGAATTGACAAGACAGTTGACCCTGAGAGGTCAGCTAAATATCTACAGCAGATCTAAAATATTCATAATTAATTATAACTAGTTATGATTAATTATTCATATTTCCCATGAGCTGATTCGTTACAGATTTTGGTGGAGAGAATGCGGGCATGATAAAACGAAAGTTATGAGTTTAAACTCTGTCAACTTAAAAGTGTGTGCGTGATAGTCCAGGTTAAAATAGGGCGTGACTTGAGATGCCCTGTTGTGTCCCTATTTGCTGGCTTGCTTAGATGCAGATAAAGTGGGGGTTTGAATTGGTACCGCTATTATAATTGTGAGAGTCTTTATGTATTTCATGCTTAATGGCATGTGATATTTCAGTTTTTCTTTTTTAATAAATCTGCAAAAATGTCAACAATTCTGTGTTTTTCTGTCAATATGGGGTGCTGTGTGTACATTAATGAGGAAAAAAAATTAACTTAAATGATTTTAGCAAATGGCTGCAATATACCAAAGAGTGAAAAATTTAAGGGGGTCTGAATACTTTCCGTACCCACTGTATATACCTTGTAATATACCTGCACACACAATTGTCAATTTATATGTTTTTATTCCTTATTTACTTGTTCTATTTTTATTTTTATTATCTGTGTTTTTTGTTCTGTCACTGTCATTCTGTTACACTGTGGAAGCTTCTGTCACTAAAACAAATTCCTCATATGTGTAAACATACCTGGCAATAAAGCTCATTCTGATTCTGATTCTGATAATTATTAATATTAATTATTCATATTTCCCATGAGCTGATTCGTTACAGTGTCTTACTGGAGAGATAGTGTAAAGGAACTTTAACTACTGTGAGATCAATACCTTGCACCAGCACATTGGAACCACAGCTTGACTGTTCAGAGAATGACAACACACTTTGTAGGATAAACGATTGGGCAGGGCCAGTATCATGGAGGACGCGAATATGCTTCAACTCAGACTCGGCTTCACTCAGTGATACTATACCATCACAAATGAAGGGTTCAAAAGTAGACTCAACCACTGGAGTCAGAGACACATTTTACTCAGGTGACAAAACCTGTCTTTCAATCAATGCAACACTTTTCGAAGGGTTTGCTGTTTTACTAACTTTACGTTTCAAGGTGGGACAATTTGCAATGAGGTGCCCAACCTCATGACAATAAAAGCATTCACGGTTCTCATTACTGTCTGCACTCAAAATGTTCGTAGGTACTACTGTGGCATCCTTAGAACTACGAACTCGATCAGGGAAATTACGCTTTGTGGGTGAAAACACTATGTGTGCAAGTACAAATTCATCAGAAAAAACTGCAGCCTCAGAAAGAGATTACACTTTCTGCTCATTTAAGTAAACCACGATTTTCTCCGGTAAACAATTCTTAAACTTCTCCAAAAGTAATAACTCTTTAAGCTGCTCAAACGTGTCTACTTTGTTTGCGGTGCACCACTTGTCAAACAAATTAGCTTTGTCTCTCGCGAATTCAACAAACGTTTGACTAGGGGTTTTCACAACTTTTGCCGGTATGTTTCATGAACTAGCTCATAAGCACGCAAAACGGAATTCTTCACTACATCATAATCCAAGCTCTGCTCAAGCATTAACACTGAGCAGACTTCTTGGGCTTTACCAACGAGTTTGCATTGCAGCAACAGTGGCCAAACATTCCGTGGCCATTTAACGTGGCGGCGATTCACTCAAACACAGTGAAATAAGTGTCAACCTCGCTCCCTCAAAACAGGGATACTAGTGCAATTTGGCGACTAATATCAAATTCAGGTTGACTTACTCGTGGGTTGCGTCGAAGTGCAGGAATGGGACATGGAGTGGAAGCACTGATGGGTGACGACACAGACACGCTCACACCAGGCCATCAGCAGCTGATGTCACAGTCTTCAGCGGGTGTGCCCAGGAGGGCCACCAGATGACTGTGTTCTGGGAGCACATGGCTTGTGTTGTGTTTGTCTGTTGCCATGTGCTCTCTCCTGTCTATTGTCTGGCCCCTCCCATCTTGTTACCTCGTTATTGTTTAAGTTGCTCCACCTGTGTACAGCTCCCCCAGAGACAGCCGATGAAGCTGTAGCGCTCCCGGTGGTGGCCGACGAGGTTGCAGCGTCCCCTGAGGTGGCAGAGGAAGCTGCAGTGCCACACTCTCGGAAACGGAGGAGGGGGAGAAGGAAGAATGGGTCCGCCGCACCACCCCTAGAGGTGGCTGAAGAGGCTGCAGCGCCCCCGAAGGTGGCTGACAAAGCTGCAGCGCCCCCAGAGGCGGCTGATGAATCTGTAGTGCTCCCGGTGGTGGCCGAAGAGGTTGCAGCGCCCCCAGAGGCGGCTGATGAAGCTGCAGCGTCCACTACACGGGCCTGGCCCACAATCCCTCCCCCTGATCCACCTCCGTTCCGCCTCCCTCCGGGGTTGCTCCTGGTGGAGTGTCTGGAATCCGCTCCTTAAGGGGGGGGTT